TTTCAGACACTTGCGGTAAAGGTTATGTCCAGCAGTAACGTATTTGTGAGGAGAGGCGGCGGCGCAGTGGATCTGTTTGACATTTTGCACTTCACGTGCCGAGTATCGGTCTCATGAACGGCGTAAAATTAAAACTGCTAATTCCCTTTAGCTAGGAATTTACCTCGTTGCTCTTTGATGCAACCAGCCGAGAAACAAGTGACAAGTCGTTGACTTGCGAAAACTACAGGCAGCATCATGCCTTTGTGTGATCGTACCAGAATGGATAAGACGTACGATTATGCATTCGGAAGTATACTTTTTACAACTCCAGTTAGCCTTAGCATCCTTACAGCTGACGAAAACTAAACACAAAGCGTAGCCGGCAAAAACGGTTCAGGCATGACCATGCTAGACCATCATATCCACAAATTGTCCAGGTAATTCTGAGTCATTCTCGACTTACTGCTCATCTCTTGACTTGTTGCACCGCCAAACAGTTATATCAGTTCCTTGCTCTGGCAAATCTGTGATACAGTAGAAAAACTTTTTAAATCGTAAATTTGACGATATAATGTACACGAATCCCCGTGTTAAGTCCACCCTCGTTTTTGTCAACTCTTCAGCTGCTGTCCTCAAATTTATTTTGAATGAACCTGCAGATAAGGTGAAGATGGGGTTTCAGCTTCGCTTTACTGATGATCTTTAGGAGGTTGCAGTGTTTTTGGCATTGCCTGACTTTCGACTTAAGCGCTATGAATTTCCAAACAGGTTAAGGCAGGAAATATTCCCAGGAAAGGACCTCTTTCCACATTTCGCCTCTACAGACATTTAAAATGTTTTCTCGATGCACTTCTCTTGGGTGTATCCTGTTCTTGTCCAAATAACGGGTGAACATTCGTTTTTTCTGCGTGTAGCAGGTTGGCGGATTAGATGTAACTACTCGGCGCTGGTGCCGACCAGTTTTAATTCAGATTTTATAGTTTATGAATATACCAATTCAGGAGGTGTGCGACTTTTTGAACTCAGAATATGTTCCTTAGTTGTTGCATCTTAAGTTGGTAAAGCATTTGTAGGGTGGACTAAAAATTGGGTAATTCTACTTCTTCCCCAATTTGAATGGCGACCCTTGGTCAGACCGATTTTTTCGTGACTTTGTTAAGGGTGTAGAGATAAATACATTCTGATTTTAGCAGTTACCTTCGGAACATCCATAAACAACAACACTAAAAATATAGCTGGTAACGTTACCGATGAGAGTTAGCAGGAAGCTGTACATGGCTTCAGTTTAGGTTTATTCAGTTTCAGTTCGGTAAAGTATAGTACTACAGTCACGTGCCACAAATAGTTAACAGGTAATTCGCTCTTTGTAATTGCACTTATATTTCTTGTTTGTTTCCTAATTTGAATGAGTGTTTTTGTTTCACGGATATGATCAACTTGTCGATTTGTTTAGGACGGTAGAGTTTGTAGAATAGCGTTGAACATCTTCGCCGATCGATTCGACACTGGCAAAACGAGTGGAAAGCCGTACGTATAGCGATTATCGACTTTTTACTCGGTTTGTATTGCCTTACATATCGGTTGTCTAGGGTCAAAACTGAAACAAGCTCGAACACTAGAAGTCCAAGCTCTGTTACTTCTGGTGAAAGTTCTACGTCGGCGCCTTCTACGTTCAGCAGTCGGGCCGCGAAGATTCGACGAGTGATGATGGCTCGTGGCCGTGTTGGCAGAGGAGTGATCGTTGGATCACGTCCCCTAATCCCCGCTTCTGCCGTACCTGAAGAACTGATCGCGCAGGTTATTTATTTTTCACGCTTTGTTTTCTTCAGACTTTTTCGCAAGGTTTACGGTTATTTAAAAATGTCATCGTCGCATTACATACTCCAAAACGGTACTTCTCCCCGACATTCACTACCGTCGATGAACGTAACTAGTCTTGTGATCACTAAACTCATAAAGTAATATACGACGGTTGTGGTTT